GTGAAATGTTCTGTCGGAAGTATTCCGCAAAGAGATTTGAGGTTTCAAAATCATCCGAGGACTCGGAGCTACATGCGAGGGATTTATGGAGATTTTTCTTTTGGAATTAACGAACTTAAAAAAGTATTTAGTATTAGCAAACAAGGAGGATTTAACAAACTGAAGGTATCTGCAATAGTATTGCCGATAGAGGGAATTAAATTTATGCCTTGCCACTGAGTAAGCGATATAGTCGAAAGAAGAACCACTTTTCGAAAATTCTTTGAAAAGCTTGTTTTTGGTATTCTTGTAATATTTAATTGTTTTATTAAACCACGGGGGACACTTGCTCCGAAGACGGGACTGCTTGAAGCGCAATATGAGAAAGATGTGATTTTAGCATTGAAACATTGATTTTATGGAAATCATAAAATTTATATGAAAAACTTGAATTTGGAACGTTATAGACGTTCAACGAGCTAACATGCTTGTAATGAAAGAAAATACCCAATGCTCGATGATATGGATCCTCAGGTAAACTAAACGGAAGAGAACGATTAACGCAAATCTCAGGAAAATTGGCAAAGCAAAGATCAAGCAATCTACCATTGCAATTAGGGGTACCATTGTATTGAACTACATTATGATCGAATAATTCATTAAAGAACACAACGGCTCTACCAGAAGTTGAAGTAGGAATCAAACAGCCAGAACTATCACTGTAACACCAAGTGACCTGAGGTAAATTGAAGTCAGCCAACACAATGACTATATCGGTAGGCTTAGATTTCTTGGCCATTTCACAAATGAGTGCTGCCTGTTTCTTATATATGGGAATATCCGAATTTGGGGGAATACAGGAGCAGGTCACATATAAATGTTTATTAGGATATTTCACTCGAATGGCGATAAATTCAACGTCGAGAGTAGTTGGAAATTCAAATGAATAGGAGGGAACTGCCGAAGAAATGGCAATTAAAACACCACTACCATTGCGATACAACCGATCGTTTCTGAAAACTTGAAACGAATTATGGAAAAGTTCCGACGGATGTAGATCCGGCTTTAACTAAGCTTCAGGGAAGACCAAAAAGGAAAACTTCGTGCTCACTGAATTTAGAAAGGTAGAACGAATTTTTGAATTTAGGCCACTAACATTTTGATAAATGAGAGAAAATGAGTCTGAAGAAATGTTTAGCTTTTTGAAGGGGAAAGAGCTACCGCATTAGCATTACGGGGTCGATCCCGAGGGATAACTTCCTTAATTAAGGATCCAACCTGCAACAATGGTTTATTTAACATCTAATCTATATTTTCTCGCGATTGAGAAGGAGTCAATTTGAAAATACTGACGCGCTTTATATTGACAGAAGGAGCTTTCGCTGCTATATAATTTTTTATATTATCGACAGATGTGCCTGGTGCAAGTCTAGACACAAATATTGCCTTCCTACGTGGAACTGCCTTCAAGCATATGTCATCTGTACTAGGAGCAGCATGGTTCACGGATGGGGAGTTATGAGTTGGGGAAAATATAGAAGGGGTAACCACATTTGCACAAGCAGCTTGTGCGACGCGTCCAGTTTGGCGACCGGAAGAGAGAACGATTTACTATTATCATTATTAGTTTTAGGCGATGACGCTTGAGAAGATTGAATGACATCAATGGGAGGAAATACCCTTGCCACTTCAACATAGCTCAAGCCAGAAGGGGTTCCCGGCTTTTTTGTAACTTTTATGTTACCGACCGATTCAACAGTAGCAGAAACGCCAACATTCTTTGTAGACTTTAAGGAATCGCTAACTTGCACCGACGAAACGGACTTAGGAGAACTCAGAGGTGACGAACCACACGCTACGCTACGAGTTGAAACTTTGGTAGCCAGAGAGGAAGATGACTGCGCAATATAACGACACTCATCAAACCTAGTCTGGATTATTTCAAATTTCTCCCACAAGGAGCCGAGATTTTTGCTCAAATGTGAGAAACAATTTCTCGTCTCCGTTAAGAGTTTGTAGAAATCAATGTCCCGCTTTCTGCAGTCAGGACATGACGATCGTAAACCTTTAGAAGAGTGAACGACTGCATCAGCAGAACGGCCGATAATACCAGCACACTTTGCATGTCCAAAACGATCACACAACCAACAAGAAATGAATCGTTCAGATTCAGAACCTTTTTTCACACGACATGGTGTAAATAAGCAATCCATGTCCATTGAAAACAGCAAAAGTACCTTATGAAGGAAAAAAGAAAAATTAAAAAATTCCACGGCACAAATTTTCAGCAAATTAAAGCAAATTTCTCACTTCCCTGCACACTGTAAATATGGAGCGAAAGCTAAAGAAACTATAAACAAAGATTAACAGGTAAAAAGAGCGACTTTTATTAAGTGTTCAATTGTTGATTACACTAAACAAAAATGGTTTTTCACATAAATGGTTAATAAATTCATGTACGTTAAATTCACACTTTATTCTTTTAGAAAATTTTTAAAAGTAGGCACGAATAAAGCAAAAAGGCTAAGAAATACACTAAAAAAATTGAAAAATTTGTTGCGCAGAATACAAACGCGACTACAACACGCACGCAGATTTGCTAAACTGAAGTTTCATCTGAGGTTTCTTCTTCCGTTACGTCCTGTTCTTCATCTAAAGTTTATATTTCGTACTCCTCCGCATTCACATTCAATTCTTTCTGTTGCATTTCATTATCATTTAAAAGATTTTTGAAATGATTTTTAAAAAAGTTTAATGAGCAACAAAGCTCATTAGAATAGCCCGAGGTAGCTGATTCCACTTGCGCCTTTATCGCAGCACGGTGCTTCTGTAATTAACTGAATTCATTGAAATTTATTAATTAATTTACAGATCTTAGCTTGCCTTTGGCAAATGGTTCATTATCTTGTCTAAGGCTGATTCAGGGGATTCATGCTTGAGCCATTCAAAATTCTTTGTGTACGCCGCTGATGTTAATTAGTCTTACGACTTCCACGGATTTTACCTAAGTCGTACGCGAAGAAATTTTGAAATAACTTACGCGATATGAAGCGGCCGGCGAATAAAGGTATTTTCTCCTTACTTAAGGAACTGCGAGTAATAATTTTCTCTACACGACATAGGCAACAATCTGGATTCTATATGTAACCCACAGATTCGACGTTTGCAAAATACAATAACCTCGTGTCTACAGCTATTTTTCCCTCGAATTCACGTAACATGCGTCGATTTGTAAACATTCACAGCTTATTTTTGTTCAATTTCTCGGTGAAGGATGCTTGTTCTTGTTCTCATTCTTGGTGTAGGATGCTAGTTCTTGTTTTCATTCTTGGTGTAGGTTGTTTGTTCTTGTTCATTTTCTTCGTGTAGGATGATAGTTCTTGTTTTCATTCTTGGTGTAGAATGCTTGTTCTTGTTCAATTTCTTGGGGTAGGGTGCTTATTTTTGTTCAATTTCTTGGTGAAGGATGCTTGTTCTTGTTCAATTTCTTTGTGTAGGAAGCTTCTTCATGGTCTCATTTTTGGTGTAGGATGCTTGTTGTTGTTCAATTTCGTAATCATGTGTCCGATAGCAGGGATGTTTGGTGTAAGCCGCGCGCGCTAAGAAAGAAATTTTTTTTTATTGATTATCGTTACATTTTAGGGTTTAGTCGGCAAAATATGATAACATAAAAGGAAATGATCCAAAATCCTAAAGATGGCCAACAAATAGTACGAATAGCTAGTCGAGGTAAAAATCTCCACGAAGTTGAGACTGCTGATACGCAAAGTGAGAATTTTCTGGGTAAATGGAATAAATTCTAATATCATACATGAAGACTTTTTTATCGTTTGATAATGTTTGTAGCAGTAACTATGCCCACAAAATTCACATCACCCTTGAACACGACTTGCCTTCTTCGACTGTCTACCTTCGACTGACTACCCTGATCGAGTGTCTGGCTTAGACTGACTTAACTAAAACTAAAGCTACCCTATTCTGTTCTATTTCTATTCTTACGCTATCTTAATCCACTCTTATTCTATTCCTATGCCACCTTAATCTACTCTTTTTCAATTCCTATGCTACCTTAATCTAGCACTTCTTCCCCTCACTAACGACGGAGAATTCGTGAGGCTAAAACGAGAGACGACTTTGGGTCCTCACAGATCCTCCGTTCTTCGAGGGGAAGAAGTGACTGAAGTTACGCCCATCCGATATTGGCCGGTGGGTGATAGCTTCGGTGTGGCGCTGGTTTTTGCTGCTGCAATCGAGTTTTCCGTTGCTACTGGTGAGTGTTGGGCTGAAAGATGGCCGCAGAGCCTGTTGCTTGCGCAGAGCAGGGTGCTATTTGTCCACGGTTGCGCAGAGCCTGTTGCGTGAGCAGAGCAGGGTACAGTTGTGGACGTCGGCCCAGAGTGTGTTGCCGCGGCAGAGCAGGGTGCTGTTATCTTTTGGTGCGGCTTTCCGACATCAGAGAGTCGAATCGTTGGCCGTTGGTACCATCAGCGCTCGTGTAACTTCGGCTTTTCGGCGTTCCGTTGCCAGACCGTTGGCCAGGGAAACTGTTTTTGACGTTTTTCTGTACATTTTTTAATTTCGGTATTTGCCTGTGTAAGCCTTGTCTCGAAAACCAGCAAACAATACAATGCGAGTTAAATACAACAAAAAGGTAACAAGAAATTAAAGAAGGTGTAACAAGGAACATGAAAAGGGAATAAAGAAATAAAAAATAAGAAATAAAGGTGTTAAATAAATGTAATAAAATGATTTATTATAGATACCAGTTTTATCAAAGTACCACGTAAAACCATGCGTGTTTATGTCATTAAAAACGAAGAGAAGTTTGTTTATATACTATAATGATTAATCGGGCTTAGAGTTGCTCATCTAAAAGTTCAGTTTTAAGCTCTTACTCTGTTCCAATAGGAACCCTAAAGGCGATTCAATTCACAAGAATTATGAAAAATTGAATAAAAATGAATGTAGAGCGTGAAAAACTGAATAAAAATCAATGCTGGGAATGAAAAATGGAATAAAAATCAATGCAGGGAGGTACGGGGTGTGTCAACGTTGGCCACCAAGGGCTCGCAATGGGTTGACAGACCCTTGGCTGTGGGTGACTTATTGTTGTTTTGTTGTTGTTCGTAGAATGTCGACGAAGTTGTGATGCGCTCGTTGCAGTTGATATGCGCGTAGTTCGTAGCTGTGATCATTGTGGCGTTGAATTTATCGTAGTTGTTGTGACTTTTGTTGTTATGTTGAATTTCTAAGCTGAGTTTGTTGCGTTGAATCTTGTAGTTGTTGTGGCGCTGTCGTTGTGATTGGTTAATGTTGTTGTTGACGTTCGCTTGCAGCGATGGTTGATTATGCAAAGCAGATTGCTGTTGCAATTGATTACTACTGTTGATGATATTTCCCTTCATACCGTTCAGTATGGGTGAATGCGGAAGAATTTGTTTAGCTTCTGCTTCATAAGAAATTTCGCATTCATTACCAATGCCTTTTATGTTTCCTGCTGTTCTTGTTGTTGAATTCATTGTAGTTGCTGTGGTGCTATTGTCCTGATTGTTATATTTTGGGGTACCGATCTCTGTTAGTGCTTGGTGTTGTTGTTCCTGCTGCTGTTGTTGCGGTGTCTCCCGTGATATTGTTTTGCTGGGTTGCTGTTGAGGCAAACTTGATTGTTGTTCCAAGACGGGTATCGTGTCATCAGGCGTGATATTTTCCTTTTGTTGCCGGAGGGTTGTATCAGCAATCGTGCACCTGTGGCTTTCCGACATCGGGATTTCGGAGCGTTGGTTAGCAGGTATGGGTCAACATTGGCCACTCCGGGGCTCTCATTGTGTTGATCTGACCCTGGCGATGCGTGCAGCCTTACAATGGGCGTTGCCTTCGAAATCTACTTGATTGTCCTTCGGGCATGCGTGACTGGCTTCGTAGGCTGCTAGGAACCCCAACGTTACCAGGTTGATTTGTTTGCAACGGCCGGTCTCCTAGGCTTCTGTGGACCCCGACTCTACCAGGTGTGGGTTGTAATAAGAGACATGACGCCGTTGATTTTCCTGCGGACGATCGTTTGTAGGTCGGGATGCTGATGTAGTGGTGTTTCTAAAATTTTCCTGCTGAGAGGTGAATTGCCGCTATTAGCTTTCCGCGCAAGAGAAAAGAATTGTGTTGGTAAATCGTGGGTCTCGTTTCTGTGGGTTGTTGTAAGATGTTTTCGTGGACTTGGCTGGGTAGTAATTGGCCCTGTGGGTTCAGGCAAGCTGGTGGTGTCCGCTCTGTCGGCATGCCGTGGTCGAATCTATTCGCTTCTTTTGCGGCATTGAGTCCGGTAGCCTTGCCGCTTTGTTCGGCAAATCGCGCCATTGGGCGACTGGCTGATATTCTCGGTGTGTTTCACAGGAAGCTTCACGCGGCATGTTGTCCTTTGGAATCGCCTCAAAATCGCTGGCGAGTTCCATGGGTTCGTCTACATTGATGAAATCTCGGCGCCGTATATACCACATGTAATCGGGTTGCGCATTCGTACAGATGCGTTCCAATTTTTTTTCTTCTGTCGTTGTGGTATGGCGCACCAGGTCTTGCAGTGCCAGCACATAACCCTGAAATTTCTCTCTCGGTCGCTCGGTGCGCCGCGAAATGTCATCCTCGAGCCGGGTGAAGTATCGCTGTGGCAAGAAGAATTTTAGAAAGTCGGCCTTGAACTTCTCCCAGGTCGTCCAGTGCCGGTTCTTGCTGCGGTACTGCGTTAATGCCCGGTTATGCAGCATCACCACCATGGTGGCTGGCAAGCGGTCTGTGTCGACGCCGTATGCCTCTGCAAGCACCTAGACCCACTCGACGGAGGCAAGCTGCTCTCTATGGCTGGTAAAGTTGAGCCTCCACCTGCTGACTATTTCGATGACAGGTCTCGTGTCGACCGCTTTCGGAAAAACCCGGTGTGCTCCGCCAATTGGGGCGGCGAGCTGGATGATTTCGCAGCTGTTGTTGGCTGTTGCCAAGATTTTGGGGTAGAATGCAGGTGCCATTTTGCTATTCGGTGAGGTGCTGGAGAGGGCGATCGCGATAATCGAAGTAGTATTGGGCCAACCTGGAAGTCATGATGGCGATGGGGCAGCTGCCGGATGTAATGTATTAAAACGCGAGCTTAACTAAAGTTAGTAGCACAAATGATTAAAGGACGATGGGATTGCCCTGGGCGCTCTGATATTTTATCTCTTGTGTGATTGTTTTCTTGTTGTTTTTTTGCCTTCTATCTCTGTTGATTTTTTCCTTTTCTCTTTATTTATTTCATTTTTCACTCTTGTATTTTCTTTGCTATTATTTTTGGGTTGTTCGTGATTTGTTAATTTTTTTTTTTTGTTTGCTCCGTACAATTTTCTATGTGGTTAGTAGCTTAGGTCTAACTATGTTTATTTTACTTGTTAACATTCACTTACTGAACTATTTTATTTTCTTTTCAAATTGTCCTGCAAACTTCGCTTATTATCTGCTTATTTATAGTTTTGTCTTTTTCTCCTTTTTTGGGAATGGTTTGCTTTCTTGACTAATTATACCTCTACTCTAAATTTCTTATTATTTTTCCCATTTTTATGCCTTTGAATTATAAATACGAAGTTGCATTACTTGTTTGAAACAATTAAATCGGTTTTCAAAGTTTGGTAAATTCCGGTCAATGTGTTGACCACCCATATATGCAACTTAATGTTTGTACTTCAGAAATTTGAACAGTGGTATATGAAGCGACGAGGTGGTTATCGCTTCCTCGCCCGTATTTCGATTTTAAAGTAGTCTTTCAGAAGTAGTCTACAGATTTTCGACATTGATCGAAATTTAATTGGAAGGGGAATAAGTTCGCTATCCCTTAGGTACAAGGGAGCGTGAACCTTGGGTCTATTAGAAACTTTTTAACCTGGAAATGTAGGCCATTCGTCCATTACATTTCTTAGGATTTATAAACGAAAGTATTTCACAAGGAAATTGGGCGACGTTATGATTCAAAATTATATTGTATGATACAATTTTTATTGAAAGGGAAAAGTGCTTCGCAACTAATGGTAAATTTTTAGTTCTCCTTCTCCTAAAGGCTATGACAAACTTAATCTTATAATCAAGCGAAATTACAAAAATATTGATAGGCGTGATCGGAGAATGACGAGGGGGTAATAAGATCTTGTATAATGCAATTGTGTGATTTTCAAATTTGTTAATTTGAATTTTTTTTTTTTTGTTTGTATTTGATTTTGATCTTCTGTTTCCTAATTTACTTTACACTTGCATTTTACAAGTCTTTCTCTCGGTTTTTTCGAAATAGTGGCACCCACAGAGCCGAAATGTTCAATGTCGACGTTTGTCGGTATTTTGTCCCAGAACCCAAGCAACGCTTCTGTGTACTTCGATAACTATGCAATAATTTCAATACAAAATATTATGAAAACTTCGCCCTCCTTTTTCTCTGACAAATTCCAGGATCGTTGACCACAGGATTTGCGTCACGAAACGAAAACTATTGCCACGGATTTAGCTCGTTTGCGCTATGCAGAACGTAATTATGTTTCGCTACTGCGCTGGTAACAGCTATTAAATCGCGCAGGGCTTAGTTATGGGAAATTTTGTTTCTTTTTCCTTGAGGTTTTCTATCACCTCTTCTCCAACTAAATCGATCGTTCGGAAGTTTGGTTGCGATGGCAATGTTGTGCCTGTGAACACTCTTACAAATGACGTACGAAAACAATAGCAGCATAATACGGGCAATTTATATTCCCGTAAGGAATTTCACTTTTGGCAAAAATTAGTTACTTTCTATTCCACGAATTTCCCAAATTAAACATTTTGTCTTTTTTTTAGTTTTATTAGTAATTTCTCGTAACTCTTGAGCGTTTCTATTCTACGAGCTTTTCTCTGATTATTGTATTTACTCCTATTATGATGCTATTATTTTGTGTGAATCGCGGTAGTATCCGATTTGTTGGATGGTTATAATTTAGTTTCCTTTTAACAAAGAAGGAAAAGTACTCCGCTATTAGTCGTTTAATTTTTTTCTAGGTTTCCTTTTCCTTTTTTTTGACTTTTCTAAATTTAAGCTTCACCCCTAGGGAAATGTGTTGTTGTTGGTTGGATAAAATTTCGATATTTTCTGCGTCTTTTATATTGCTTACTAACCTGAACCCACACCTTGTTGTATTTGTGGGGGTATCTGTTGTTGTAGTTCTTGTCATTGTCCTGATGTTGAGGAAGCTGTTGAAGTTATTTTTGTTGTATTTGCACTGGTTGTTATCCTGATGTTTGTTGAAGTTATTGTTATTGTTGCTGTATTTGTTGTTATTCTGAAGCTTGATGAAGTTGTTATCGTTATTGCTGTGGATGAGGTGGAAATGCGTTGACGATGATGGTGTTACTGCTGCTGGTGTTGCTGTCGACTTGGGCAACTGAAAGAAAAGGAAAATTAGTGTTTGTTTTATTTATTGTAAAAGAAATTAAAATTTTGGTTTAAATTCTTCCGGTATTTCTTTCGTTTGGTTGGTGTTGCTCCTGGGGGATCGGCGTTGTTTAATCTCTTCCCACAAAACTTGGTTCAGGCTTTCGAAATGTTTGATTGTTGATTTCTTTGTCGTTATTGCCGTTGCCGTAGTTATTATTGTTGTAGTTGCTATTAGATAGGTTGTAATCTTCCTGTGTGTGTGTACGGGTGTATACTCATTAACATGGGATAAATGCTAGCTTTCTTTCGAAACTCACATGTTTCTTCTTAACCATATTTACTTTTTTTTATGAATTGTTTAGGCACCGTCAATGTCTTTATATTAGTTCTGTTGTAAATAAATTTTCCTCGATATAGTTCTTTTCATTTGCAAATGTTAATACACATTACCGATTCTCTGGTATATTTCTTAACGTCCGTTTTGATTGTCACTTTTAATCAAAGATCTTCTTACTTACGGTAACTTTTCATAGTTTTATTTGACATTGACTTCTTTGATTGACGGTTTCTCTGTGCTTCTTTTCTACAGTAACCTTGCGTAGTTTTATTTGACATTGACTTGTCCTTCGTTTCTTTGTGTTCTTTTTTTTAACTTTGCGTAGTTTTATTTCACATTGACTTGTCCTTTGTTTCTTTGTTTTTTTTTTCAGGAACTTTGCGTTAAATTGTTCTTGTTCTATTTGTTTTGTTGTTGTTTTGTTATGTAACGAGTTTCCTTAGGCGGGGTATGACTCAGTCAATCCAGGATTCGTTGCAAGAAAATTTAGAAAAATAATCAGGAACTTCGGAGGGAATGGTGTATAATTTCCTAGCTTTATTGTTTCCACTTTACTGGATGGGAGTACAGCAATGTTTGAAGAAAATGGCTGGGGCAAGGAACCAGCGAGGTGTCCCGACTTGTCGTGCTATTACCGGTTTGTTTTTTTTTTCCTTTTACTTGTAAGTTTGGAACTTGCACTTCTTTTTCGTTACGCTTTTAATATCGCGGGCGCTGAAAGAAAAGGACCGAATACGCTGCCAGTGTCATAGCTGCCTTGGTTCATCCCTGGTTGGTGTGTGAGTCCGAAAATAATAACAAAAAAAACCGTCTCTCAGTTCTTCAGGGATGGCGATTAAGCTAAACCAGCACATCCCATATCCGTAAGTCAATGGTCCTAAAAAGTCCTTCAGGGATGGCCATTAAGCTAAACCAGCACATCCTCTATCCGTACGTCAACGGTCCTAAGCAATTCTTCAGGGATGGCGATTAAGCTAAACCAGCACATCCCCTATCCGTAAGTCAATGGTCCTAAAAAG